AAAATTGTAGACCACATCATTCTCTCCCAAATGCATCAATGCAGGTCAGTTGTTGATAAGAGCAATCAGCCAGTGTGGAGAGGAAAACATTCACCTTGACTCAGCTCCGTCTGACCTAGAATGACAAAATCTCTCTTTATCCCTGTATTTTTGAAGGAGCTGTTGATTACTTGGGTCAGCAAAACCAGGCTGATTTAGAGTTACTAAGCATTTCAGACTATGCTATATGTTAAGCCTCTTTTCACATTTATTTACCAGTGCACCAATTCTGCACGTTTTAATAAAACAGGTTTTACAATTACTTCCAACTCTCTGAGGAAGATAATTAGCAGTGGCAGGTCTAGGATTACCCTTAACAACATCCCTAAAGCATATGCACTGATTTCTCCACTGACAGCTTTCTGAAATCTTGTCAGTCAGGAAGTTCCTAGTCCAATTAAAATGTGTTTCACTGATAGATAAAACACTGAATTTTTGTACACAATGTCACGTAACACTCACCATGGTGTCTTAGAGTTTAAAGTGTATATTGTGTGTCATGTCTATTCCAAAAACAGAGTTTAAAAATAACCAGGAATTCCTCCAAGAATGAAACCAGGTTTGTCTGAAAAAGTCTATTTTCTAAAAAAATTCTGATTTATATATATTGTCTATATTGCATATGCTAATTAAGTTACTAGTTGAATCCACCTTCTGATTTTCCATTATTTTGCTTGTGATAGAATCACATTCACCACTTCTCTGTCCTTTTAAAATTTTGGTATAATATCCTACAAATTCTTTTCTACTAGAATTTCCTGGACACTCTTAAATAAAACAGAAATGAGTATGAGCAGGCCAGTCAAGTCTTCCTAGTCAAGAGTCTACAATCTTTTATTGCCAGTTATATGAGTCTGACCATTTTGATGTGTTTACCATAATACTTGTTGCTTAACATTCTCCTGGGTTACTAAGGGACTGGAAAGTATTTCATCACATCCCAGTGACAAAAGCACATAAAAAGCTTCATTTTAAGCCATTTTATCATCATGGCTCATGTCTTTGCATAGGGAATGATGTCTGTCTACAGATTCCTAGCTTGATTTTTACATTTTACAAGAATAACATGTTACACTGTCAAAAGAGTCTTTGCTCTCAGGCATGCAGTCCACTGCTAGTGTGCAGGCTGTCACTATGATTTGAGAAATTTTCTCTATCACAGAACTTACATTTTTAAAATATTATTTGCATAAAAGAAGGAATAACAATGGATACTTTATGATTTTCCAAAAATGAGTTTTTATCAAAGCTGTGAGTTCAGAGGAGACAACAAGCAGGTGAAATGAGTTGGGTAGGGCACTCTGCAGGAGGGTGGAAGCATGTGGGTAGGTGAAGGGGGCAGTTGCCCACTGACAGTGTGTCTTTGGAGTCTTCTGCAAATCCACAGCTCCCAAATAAAAATGTAAAAGTGTAAATCTACTGCAGGAAATCCAATTGCTGGTCTATTCTTTGTCAAACACAGTGAAGAAAATCCTGATGGAAACTGCATTTATTCAAGAGAGATTCATGCTGTGGAGATGTTGAACAAATGCGACCAGACCGCAAAAATTTGGGAAAGGAAAAGGCAAGGTAGTCAGCAGAACTAGTGCTCTGAGCAAAAACTGCATTAATCTCCCTTTCTGCCTCTGAAAGGAAACAATGTGAAATGCTCTGCTTGTGTTTGATAAACCTGTGACCTGACTTGCTCGGAGAAGAGCAAGGCTTTCTGCTTCTGCTCCCACTGCCAGTGCTGCGGGCAGCCTGCTGCGCCCGCCGCCGACCTGCCCTTGGCTGGATCCGTCTGTCTCAGATTATACTATCACATGGATGTCTCATGCCCCGAGCTCCCCTTTGCTGATGGTGCTCCTTAGGCCAGTGAACTGAGCTGAAATAATCTGGAGCCTTACTCTGATCTCAGGCTAATGAGATCAGAGAATAACAAAACATTGCTAAGGCCCGTGGAGGTACTGAGCAACAAGAGGAGACACAGGCCTTCATGATGCCCACAGGGTCGCTCCCGAGACAGCCCAGTCATGCTGATAGCATGTGCTGGCAGTAAATCACTGCTCAGGTTTGAAAAGACAAGTCAGTAAAGAAAATCCATTAATAAAGGCAAAAAGAAGAGAAACTTGCTGCCCTGCAGAACTCGTGATGAATTTTTTTATTACAGTGGTATAGCTGCTTTCAGACAGAAATGGCAGTGTACAAGTGTACCGATCTCTGCAGAAAACAAGCACCTCTGGGAAACCTATATCCATGGAACTGAAGCTGTAAAGAAGATAGGGCTTCCATCTGGCTGCCTCAACCTTTCTTCTGACACCACTGCCCCTATAAAAGGTTCTGTGAAATAGTTGTGTATTTATCTTGCCACATCAGCATGGGAGATGGGTGCATTCCATGCCCTAATGCATATGAACCATTTGTTTTTTTCCTGATAGAAAAGATATTTTTTTGCTTTAACTGAGTCACATCAGCAGAAATGTCACATCACAGAGGAAACCACTTTGAAATACCATAGGTAGGCAGGTAGTTTGGCAGAGTCAGGAAGAAGGAAAATGCCACTATCTAGGAGACAAGTCATGGTAGGCACAGTGGAAGCTCTAAGTTGAGGCTTTTTTCAGGCCTTCCTGGATTCAGTTTTCTGGTGACAGATTTAGCTGCCTTCACGTGGCAGCTGGACAGATTGCCATGGCAGCTGGACAGATTGCCACGGCCAAATTGTTTTGGACTGAAATTATTTGACAGCCTTTGACCCAGCTCCCCAACCAAGTTAAAATGACACATCCAGCTTTATTTGGCATTTGAACTGTGAGGGAAGTGACTATTCTGTTCTGCCAAAGGCCTCTTTTACTTAATGTTCTGTAAAGAGGAATGAACTGCATATAATAATGACATCTTGTGGTAGTTGTTGAATTATTGCCCTATGATTTAGTAGAGAACAAGATGCCAAATTTCATTACATATTTCCCTCTCCATGTTGCAGCTCTGCGAGTTCACATTTACAGTTTCTGCTCCTGTGAGAAGCTGGATGTAGAAAACCTCCTAGAACATTTGGCTTATTGTTGACTTTAGAGGAAAAGGGTGTTTTGGTAATTTGATTACACAGGTAATGGCCTAACATACAGGTCAGAAAATCATAACTGATTACAGAATGGCTATCCAGCTATTAATTAAAAAAATCCTAGAGTTTTGGTAACATTTAGTGCAGAGGGCTCTGGCCCATAGAATGAGCCTGCCTTTGCTGCCCCGTGGCTTTGTACTGGGTATGAGGGAGCATGGAGCATGCCTATCCTGAGTATATATATAATTGGTGTCAGAAAATCCTGATAAACAAACAGGGCGATTTTGCCCTGAGATAAGGCAGCTTTGACCCCAAAGTGGGTTCGGATTGTGACACCATTCAACCTTGAATACTTCCACAACCTCCCTGGGCAATCTGTTCCAGTCTTACCACCCTCACACTAAAGAATTTCCTCCTAATGTCTAACCTGAATCTCCACTTTTCCAGTTTTAATCCATTACCCCTCATCCTCTCACTACAAGGCTGCTATAAGGTCTCCCTGGAGCCTTCTCTTCTCCAGACTGAACAGCCCCAACTCTCTCAGCCTGTCTTCATAGGAGAGGTGCTCCAGCCCTCACATCATCTTTGTGGCCCTCCTCTGGACTTTCTTCAGGAGCTCCATGTCCTTCTTATGTTGGGGATTACAGGATACAGTACTTTCACATATTTACACTGCAACAACAGGTGAAATGGTAAAACCCCACAAGGACAAAGGTCTGATTCTGTTCAAGGAAAATGCAACACACAGGTATTGAAATTACATTTATTTAATAGTCCAAACCATAATTCATGCCTGATAAGCCATAAGCAATACTAAAATTTTAATTCTATAATCTCTTTGGCTTGATAGGATTACTCATAACAGCATGGGCAACAGCACTTAGGTGTTAACAGTGCTTCAGTTCATATATACAAGAAAGAAAAAAATATTTTTCATAGCATATCTAAAACATAAAATATTCTAAATTTTCAAAACTTTGTTAGTGTCTTCTCTATCACTGAATAAAAATATTTGACTTAACATCGCTGTGAGAAATATCCTAATATGTTCAACAATGTATATCATTGTTGTATGTTCTTATAAGACCATATTTATAATAATTCAGTTTATATACAATGATGCAGCTTCTGTATATCCATGTATATTTCAGGCTTGATCTGATTTTGGAGCACTGAAAAAATTATAAACAATCAAGAACATACAGAAGACTTACAAGTTTGCATTACCACCCATTTTATTTTTTAAAGATGTATGAATGAGTCTTTTTCAATTAATTTTATCTACAGAGTTATACACAATTTAAAGACAGATTATCTATAATCCCAATCCTCTCCTGATTTGAAAGAGCAATCAAGAACTTCAACACAGAAGCATATGATGAAAATCAGAGTAGTTTCACAGACATCAAAGGGGCTGTTGGAAATTATTCCCATCCCTTAAGACAGTTTATCACTGTTGGTGTTCTTGATGTCTTTTTTTTCTGGCTTTGTTTTGTTTTTTTGTTGTGTTGTTTTTTTCTTTAAATTCTCTTTTATTTTGCTTTTGTCCAGTTTATTCAAAACCCCTCGTGGGATTTAAAAAAAAAAAAAATATTGACCTGTAATATGACAGTAAAGTGAAGAGATTGATCCTTTATATATCTCATATATATTCCTTTATAGAAACTTTGCAAAACAGTAATCATAACGGATCTTAATTTTTTTATTAAATTGAGTAGATATGAATAGTGTGCAGATGTGTTGCTCTTGCTACTGTCATTATTATGCCAACAGCCCCTGACACCAAGTTGGACTTGATTTCAAAGTTATTTTGAAACTTGGCACTTCTCCACAAAAATCTCTTTCATTTTCAGTGTTTGACATATGGTCTCCTTTCCTCTTGATGTTTGAGTCTCAGGCCATCCAGCCTCCCACAAGTTGTTTACAGTCTTGACCTCAATCTGCCTGTAACAGGTTTACTAATACAAAATTCTGCCCACCATGAAGGTCTGTTCAGAGCTTTGCTGCCTTGAAGCATCTCTCCCCATATATTTTTATATAACTGCAAAATAGTAATAAAAAGAAGATTAATTCATACAGAAAGTAAAACAAAGAAAACTTCTGTAAGATAAAATATCTTAGTGGTTGAAATGAGATCATGATTGAGTTTCTATATAAGAAATGGCAATAATTACGTACAGGAAAGAATAAATACAAAGTACAAAATTTCAAAGTACTGTAAACATGAGATATAGGTATAAATCATCTAGACCATCCTTGGCATAAGAGTGGAAACCCAGTAACATCTGTAAGCTCTTGTTTTCAACTTGACATGAGTCATATTATTAAAGGCAGAAATCTGGAAACAAGGTTATATTAAGCAAATTATTGTTCTGTCCAAACCAGAAGACTGTGTCTGAAAGCACGTGTGCATGTCTGTTTTCACCTTTATTTCAACACATTTCTGGAAAGTAACATAACTTCTCTCCCAGGTTTGAAGTGTTCAATCTGGGCATAAGAAATTCCTCTCTGATAAGCAGACTGTTAATGCATTATCTTCATCAAGGTGCAGTTTTATGTGGAAAGGTTAAAAAAAAGTACGTGGGAAGTAAATTCTGCAAAAGTGTAATTTCAGCAACATTTAGCAGTTCATCATCAACTGAAGCTTAAGACTTTAAATAACATTATAAAAGATGAGGAAAGGAATATTCCAAACAGTAAGTTGGAGTACTCTATAATACAATATGAATGCAGTATAAAAGCATATGGTGATGTAAATAGAAAAGCCTTTCTTTTACATCAAAAGATGGCTTAGTCCTAGGTATTTGTGATTTAAATAAATACTGAAATATAATATATTTAATATTAACTATATTTTTACCTGGATTATGTGGGCTTGTTTTAACTACATATTACATTCCAGGTTTGATTTAATATTTCTATTTTTTTTTTATCCTGAAATAAATGTGTTTATTATTTTGCATACTTAAGCTGAGATTGTCAAAACTCCTGTGGGGAACTGTTGTCCACACCATCGAAGTTTCTTTTAAAGAGAATCTGAATTCTTATTTAGTGCTTAAAGCTGCCCATAACAAATTTGGAAACTGCTCTGATTGTGATCAGTGGGGGTTGTGGTGCAAAGCACTGCACTGCAGCACAACATAGGTTATCCTGAATCAAATGAACCTTCCTGTTATGCTTGGATAATCTATTCTTTACCATACTGTAGGTTTTACTAAAATGTTTGCAGTTTTTCAGAAGTTCCAAAGACAACAACAAGTAGAAAATTAAATATAGACAGATAGGAGTCAAGGAGCTTCATTAATTATCTTCTTTGAGTGAGGGATATGCAGCCTATTCCAAATTTCAGTTCAAAATATTTACACAAGTTGAAGACCACAGACTTAGAGGTAGTTCAGAAAACCTTACAGTTCTGCAGAACATGGGTTGGATATCAGTGCTTGAAATTATTTTCTCAGTAAGACTCAGTACACAAACATTATGCAATATTTAGTACAAAAGGAAGTCGATAGTGTTTAGGGTGCCATTTGCATGTCTCACAAATGATATTCCTAATATTAATCTCTAATATTAATAAGCTTCTATGGCTTCTGTATGTGTGTGAGCCAAGAGCTAGCCAAAGAGGAGCTTGTTAAATCCATTATATGACAGTTTCATCACCTGCTGATAAGAATTCTCCAGCTGACTGTTGAGGGGTAGTATACTAGGAAGGGTGTATATGCACCATGTTTTATATTCCTGCCTACAGCATCTGCTTACAGCTTGTTAGAGACAGAATAATGGGTGAAATTGGATTTTGGCCAATACAGATATTCTTTGAGATGATGTTCCTTCTCTTTACGTTACTTTTGAAGCTTCCCTCCCATAAGCTCTTTCATATACATTTTATGAAGAATTTAAAGAAATAATTTCTACACCATTTGTATGCACTTCACATAAAGTGAGTGCACTGCATTTATCAATAAACGCAGAGAAAGTTCTAGGCAGAGAAGAAATATACCTTACTACTTCTCTAAGGTATTCAGTTATATACTAAAGATATGTTACTCCTTAAGGAATCTTAGGAGATGATATGTTTTATTTATTTTTTGTTCCACAACACTGATGCCCCCAAGAGCAATCTAGAGCAATAGTGAATGAGTTTCCCATTAAAGTCTATCTCCAGCAAATGCAAAATGTCATTTTCTGCTGACATCAATTTAACTCTACTACTTTTCACTGGAAAAGTGTCCTTCTTTTCCTGGACGGCTGTGAAGTGTCTTGGATGTGTTACGGCTATTTCCAGGCAACACCCTTCTTAATCATTAAACCTACAAATTCTAAAATGGGTTTTCTTACCTCTCCAGTAGCTGCACCAATGGGAGAGTTGAGAATAAAATCAGGAGGAGCAAAGACATCAACGAGAGCAACTGCATCATCCTTTAACTGTTTAAAAACAAAAGTAGTACAGTTGGCAACTTCTGCTGTTGTCTGTGGCTACCTGTGAATTACAGAGTAGCATAAAGCTTATTTCCACAAAGTACCAGCTACTGGTACCTTAAGAGAAATCCATAGTAGAGAGTCTTAAGTTTATTCTACTTCTCCTCCCAGGGTAATTTCCAAATGAGACTGTATTTTAAAGGTTTTTGGGTTTTGCTTTTGGGTTTTAAAATGCATTTTAACCACAGTGGTAGAGTCTAAACACATATAACCATGTATTTTTGACCTTTAAAAATATAATGTCCTGATTCTTCTTTGAAATTTTGCTGTGAACAATATAATACAGTTTGAAAAAACAGAGAGGAAAAAAAAAAAAAAAAGAACTAACACAATAATGAAATAATTAGGACTGGACTGCACTATTTCACTTGCTTTCCTATCAAGACTGCCAGTCCATAAATCATAGCATGTTAGTTTGTAAGATATACTGTTTTTCATTTTTTGTTAAATAAAAAATTAGGACTAGATTCAGGGTCAGTAAGCTACTAAACTTTACAGAAATGTACTCAGAAATTATTAATATACTATCCTGCTAATTTACCCCTCGAAGTACAGAATAACTGAAATATGTCCTATTTAGTATTTGTATACTATATTATTATTTCATCACAACAATCAATCTTGAAGGCTTACCCTGTAGCAGAGCTCCAGAATAGCATTCTGAATGAATTTACCAGCGTGTTCACCTGAAGCATAGCCACCTGCAGATACATTCACAAAAAGTCAAGATTACACTCATACAATTCTTTTACAAAGGAGCTTTTTCGTCCAGTATTCGAGAGGCTCCTGTTTAATTAGACTGACTGACTTTCATTAATGAGTTGACTGCAAAATTGTTAATCTAAGACATTTGGAGCCTTTTTCATTAACAAGCAATGCTACAGCATCTCCCTCCTGACCCCCAAGCACTTGTCTGCTGCAAAACTTGGGAGCCCTCTGTCATCTCTGAGCTAAGAGAGTCTGTTGGGTTAATTTGTCACTCCATGTTCCTGCTCCTGAAAATTCTGTTCAGAATAATTGTTTTACATTTCACAGGCAATAAGAAAATTTTCTAATCTAAATCCTAATGCAGATTCTCTCCCCCTGCCAAGTTAGGACTTCAATGAAGTGACATGCACAATGTATTCAGGGACCTGATCTCACCTTGGTAAAGCACAGCCAGATGTTTACTTAAAGACCAGAGTCCGTACAGAGCACTGAGATTCTTAAGCACTGGCTGCAGAGTAGATGGTATGCTGGGCTCGTGAGTGTAGTCATGGTATCTCTGCAAGACTGTGTGTTCAATAAAAGCAATGGCTAATGATCGGCAGTGGTACACCTTAGGAAACAGAACAGAAAGACACTGAGAAACAAAACACAAGGAATCAATCCTCAGCTGGTGCAAAATTGCATTGCTCTAGTGAGTTTAGTGGAGATTTGTTGATTTAGATCTGCTGATCTAGTTTGAGATTAAAAAAAGCCTAAGAAGAAACTCTAGGAGAAAACTCCTTCTACAATGTCTTTGAAAAAGTTGGCTGTGAAATGCATCTTGGAAATAACACTAACTTCTCTTTTTCCACTATTTTTCACTGTGCTCTACTTTGGGTATTCTCCTATACCAATCCAAAGGGAGTGCAGATTTTCTTGCAAGTGTAATTTGAAAGTTGCACCCAGACAGTCTGGGATCAAATGTTGACATCCAAGAGAAGACCATGAAACATAAGGTTTGCTGACTTTAGATTCATTAATAAACTCATGTAACTCTGATAAGATAAAGGCAGTTTTACATTTATTCAGTATTATGCAGAAATTTAAAGGAGTACAAAATCTGCAAAGTAGTTTGGTGACCTACTTAAAACCTACTGCAGTCCCTTCAAGTAATAAATTAAAAATCTGAACATGTTAGCACGAAGGGATTCTGTTTATGGACTGCAATAGATTGCAGTATATTTTGAAAGAACTATCCAAATAATCCTTGCCAACTATCTGATCAGAAAGGCAAGTCACCAGTTACTTTTAGTAAGGAGCATAAAGCCTTAAGTGATGGTCCTCACACAGAACACTTGTCTACTTTTATATATTTCACCTTTTTTGTATCATGGCATGTGTCCTACCATGAAATAGACTGCTGACTGAAAACATTCAAGTTGGTGAACAGAAGGGGAATATGAAACCTTTGCTGTTGTGGCTGATTTGTTGGAATGCTGCAAACTGGTGTTTGGTTTTACCCCATTTAGAACTAGTTGATTTATTTTTTTTAAAATACTTGCATCATCTTTGCATTTAAATTCACTGTTGCATTTTAAAAAAGCATATTCCAAAGACTACTGTCTCTCTCTTGATAGATGTTCTGTGGCCTACTTATATCCAAGCTCAGATATGAATGTCAGTTCCCTAGTCAGAATGAATCAACTCAACATCACAAATGAAGCATTACAATCTAATGTCCAATTTTTCTCCCTTATAATTCTATTTCCTCCTTTATTTTTGCTTGCACTTGTATTTTATTTCTACCAAGCTATTTCCAAACCAAAATAAGCCAGGGATAGGAAACTCATCCAGGTCTCCCACAGCAAGAACAAATATTACATATTAGCGACCCACTGAGCTGACAGAAATGTTCTTCATGCCCAGAAAGTTTTAAATCAAATATGTACACGTCTGTAAAGCACAGCTTGTAAATAATTTTCAGATGTTTCTTAGGCATGCCATTTAAAAAAAAATCCCACTGTCCTGATGATGAATTGCAGGGAAAAAAGAAAACCTGATGACCTAAGGTATATCAACACCTGTCTCAAAAGCAGTTATGTGCCTAAGTATCTTTCAATTCTATCACATTTGAACATAAAAGAGAACCTTCATCCTTTTGAGCAAACCATTCTCTCTTAACACATTGGCACCAGCCTCCCAAGAGCTGGCTAGCTGACAGGCAATCAGACTTGAATTTCTGGCAATTCCCATTCTTAATTTAACTCTGAAGAGTTTCTCTAATAAACTGCTTTTAGGGTAAAATCAGAAAAGATTTCCTCCACTCTACCAGTGGTTGCACATAGGCCATCTCCTGTAGAAACTAGGCTGGCTCTTTCTAAGTGTAGAGTTGAATATTCCTTCCTGATTTTTTTAATAAGCTCCAAGATAAGGTGTATGACACTGACCATCTTCAGGTAACAGATCTCTCTCTGCAGTGACAAATGACAAGTGTTCCTTTGTTGGATGTAAGCCAGCTTTTCTCATGGAGGTAACGGAAGAATTTGGGGAGTTGGTGACATACACTAAAATTTGGAGTTATGCCATTCCTAGCTGTTAAAACTTTCTGGTGGGAGAGTGGATCTGCTCTATGTAGATTGTCAGTGTTTCCTCTCCAGGTTCCAATGCTGTCAGTCTGGTATCTTTCATGAGCACTTTGCACTATAGAAATTAGAGATGGAAAAGACCTATTAGGTCATCTAGTTTGCCTACCTGCCAGAGCAAGATTCTTTCCTACAGTATGTATTTGGCCACAAGAGTAGATGGAGATGTAATAATCAGATGCTGCACTGGATTTAATAGTAGCATATTTAGTCTTCAGAATTGTGCTATCAAAGTTACAGGCATCACCCAGCACATGTCTGCAACTTTTCTGAAGGGAAATATATCCTGGAAGACTTCTGGTGATGGTAACTGTCCTCTTGCTATCATGTTCAATACAACATTATGTGGACAGGAATTACTTTTCATTAGTTATTTGACTTACTGCTTTATGCTTGAGGAAACAGTACTTCATTACACAAGAAGATAAAACTATCAGGATCTGACAAACTCAGATGAAATAAGTAAATAAAACAAGAAAGCTGAATAAGTATTACCTGACAGTTGTTTTTTGCCTCAAAATCACTTTGCCCAGACTGCTTCTCTTTGCTCAGCTTTAGGTCACTTTCTCGGAGCAGGTAGCAAACCAGCCATTTATATGCTGCTAAAGGAACTGTGAAAAAGAGTAAGCCAGGAAAACTGCAGGGAATTTTCTTTCACCATTACCAATTTTTCTCTATGCAATCAAAAACAACTGTCAAAAGTAAAGCCTTTATTAACATATTTATAAATCAGCTGCATGGTTTTCTAAACTAAGGTATTTTAGTGATATAAGGTAGTGGCAATCAATGCCCCTTACAACAGTTTAATTTGAAAACAACAATACAGTGGCAAAAAAAACTGGATCACAAATGCTATTTTAGTGGGGAAAAAAAACAGAAGAAAAATTTCTGATGCTGTCCTCCATTCCAGAATTGAGACTATGGACAACAGGACATATTTTAAAATACAAACTAAATTCTTAGTGAATCGAAATGCATATAAAACAAATAAAGTCAGGAAATAGCAATAGAACAAATACCTATGAAATAGCAGAGGCTGAACCTCAAATCTCTAAATGCTTTCCCCTGGAAAGGAATTTAAGAATCTGGAATCAGTTTAATAACAGCAGAAGGCTACCTGAGGAGTCCATGCAGTCTTCAACAGTAATGGCTGTGAATTTCCAGCGAGAGATACGATGATAGTCTTGCAAAAAGTTTATTGTTCCAAAAGGGGATTCCAAAGGAGCTTTATCTGAAATACCAAGGAAAATAAAAATAATTTATGAGAAATCAGATTCTTTGGAACTAAAAGCCTATGACAAAGCCATGCGTGCACTTGATAGGCTGGATACAATTAGGCCATGATATTAATTTTATTATGGCCTAGGCCAGCCAAATGAGGACTGGCAGACAAATGCTGAAAAACCTAACAGCACTTTCTACCAGCCTCATAAGATTCAACCCCTATTGCTGAGTTTTCCAGTTCTGTAATATGGCAGTGAAAGTCACTGCTAGAAAATTGAAACAAAATCATTAAAGAACTATAAAATGTACTGATGTACTAATGAACTGTTTTATGTTCAATAAGCAAAGGGTACCCAGATTTAAAGACGATTTTAGGGGTAGTTCATTGACCTAAACAGCACTTCTCAGGGATTAGGCATGGCAAAACATTTAGCTAGCTTCTGCAAGACTTGGGAGAAGGAGTATTTCTTGCAGCAAATATCTGTGTTGTGTGAATATATCAGATGATGGTGTTGTTAGCACATCACTCATGGTCTACAAAATGATTAAATGGCTGTCAATTGCTTTTGGCATGAAATTTCCTCTTAATTCTATTAACTACACATTGTTGGGTCCCACAGTGAAAACTTACCTTTTATGCATTTCATCCAGCTCATTAAGTAGTTGCTGGTTTGCTGAAGCAGGACGTTGTTATCTCCCTCATATGTGCAGTTTGGATCATTGTCATTTCGGATTTCACCCAGACGATTCACTTAATAAGAAAAAGTGCACAATTTAATATAATGTGATGTTCTAAGGGAAGCTAAGAGGGATGAGATAATTATTCTATGACAAAATGCGAGTTGTCTGTTCCTGTATGTACAGCTACTCCTACCAAGAAATGAGAGCCAAAGCTTGCTGTTTAGCTTATGAAAATTAATATACTGGGAAGATTTTAGAAAAGCATGGCATTCATCCTACGGGAGGAATTTTCATCTATAAATTCTGCATCTTTATTTTTGGAACTGAGACTGAAGCACCTGTACAGTCTATCCAAATGCTAGTGCAGATGCTGCACAGGTTCCTTTCTTTTTGTGGTATCAGGTCTAAAACGAACTGTAAAAAAACTGATGTAAGGAAAAAGCCCTTTTTAAACATATCGATAAAATTCAGACATCAGAACACAACAGCAGCCAAAGGACACATGGACATAACCATTCTGTTTCTGGTCAGTGCATGTAGTACTCTGTAACTTACTGGCAAGGTAACCATGTCCTCCACAAGCTTCTCGGCACTCCTGGGCTGCCTGCTGAGCAGTCCAAGAAGCCAGTGGTTTGCTGGCAGCAGATAAAGCATGAATCTCACGTCCCAGTTCAGCCTTTATGAAAAACAAGTTGCAAGTAAGTAATAACTTCTACACAAATAAGAGAGTGATCAGTTAAAGTCAAGGGTATGTGTACTGCTTTATAATGAAGGAACAAGTAAATGGCAATACATATATAAAATTTTCTGAGATCTAAGTAAGGGCAGAGCATATTTTTTCTGCCACAACTGAAAAATCTTCAGCACTTACATGGATCTTACATGGGACAGCAATAATTTGTGCCAGGTAATGGAGACAGGGGTACATCTTAGCTCAGATGTGCCAGCTGGCATGGCATTGCATGGGTTGTTCACTGCTTGCCAACCTCTTCCTTCCAAAGATACAGGGGCAGATGGTTGAAGGTGGCATGTCCATAGAAAGCTTCTTTCCTCTCTGTGGCAACAGCAATCCCTCTCTCCCCATTCAGCACAGGCTCGTTTAGAATTATTTACTGCCTTACATGGTTTTCACTGATCTTTTGAGCATTAATTTTACAAAGAGTAGGAAAACTTTAATGTACGTCCTTACTGTCCGTCCTGCACTTAAACTAAATCTGTTGGCTTCCTTTGAAACGGTGCTTGGAATTCCAGTTTCTGTAAACAATGGTTTCATACTACCTAAGCTTGTTTAAAAGTAACTCCTTGGTTGGTTTTGTTTGTTTGTCTTAAGATCTCATGCAGAATAAAAGGAATTCATAAGGATTGCATTCTTAATACTGTCAACAATCAGATTTTTTTCTATCATGATTACTTTGGTTGAGAATTAATCCATGCACAGAGATAGATCAAAGTATTTCTTCTGTGAAGGGGTAACCTCCAGTGGTCTGACCAGGGATGAAAAATTCAGCATTAAGACTCAAAAGTCTTATTTTTTACCTCCAAAAATATTTATCCTAATGCATGAATATTAATTGCAAACTCAAGCCAGACTCCTTCCTGTGCAGGAAATAAGAATAGTATAATTTCAGAAGACCTGTGATATATGGCCCCTGCAGCATAATTTTCAAATTATAACCTGACTTTGCATTATCATGATATATTTATGATAAACAGTTCTGCAAAATAACATAATCTTAAATCCCACAGAAATCGATAAAATTTAACCACACCATCAAGACCAATTTGCATGTCTGTTTGAATGCAACTTTAATCATTACTTTGTATGTCCCATATTTCTGAGGTACTGCTCTAGTACTCAATTGTAAGGTGGCCTAAGACAATTTATTTAACAATTTCCAGTCCACTATAGTCAGAACTCAGCAAAGAAGAAATATGCAATCATCCCACCTGCCTCTGACTCCTTTGCTTTGTCAATAAGCCTGCATAAAATTCTATGTAGTTCTCAAACAGTGACAGGGAGAAATAATCTAAGGCATATGTAGCAGCCAGGTAAGGAAGAAGACGCCATTGCTGGAATAAAAATGAAATAGACATGATTGCAAATTAATATATATTTTTCATATATATGTAACTATCCTATAATATTGAACCAACCCATTTGCTTATACTTTGTTCAAATTTAACAGCTGTTTTATGGAGAAGAAAACTTAAGAATAACCACTTATAAACATAAGTAAGTATAACTACTCTATACACAAGTTCCAGTTACATTATTCTACTTAATGCCTTTCATGAATTCCTGCTAAAAGTTAAACCAGTGCAAAAAGTTTACTGAAGCTTTGGGGACCAACGACCTATTTTTTCCTTGTGTTTATACAATGTCTGGCATGCTGTGGCCAGTCATGATTCATGTGTTTCTTCAAGGCAACAGAAGTTGTAACTGTTTCACTTGCTTGTTCATTCCTGTATATATGTTAGTGCTGGTTCCATTCCATGAACAACAACAGGGCTGGGAATCAGAGAAAAGAGCATCTTTGCTGCTCCATGCAACTCAGAGCCCATGATGGAAAACAAGTACTTCAGAAAGCCTTTGTGGTAAAGCAAGAAAGGAATGGGAGGTTCAGCAAGCAGAGCTCAGAGAAGAAGTCAAAACTGAGCAAAACTGAGAGGGAATGGGACCCTGGCTTACTCAGCAGAGGTGGAAAGGCCACTTTTGCCAGCTTGTAGAAACCTAAGAAAGCTTTCAAAGTTGCAAGCCTATGTGCAAACTTGGAAAAAAGCACCCACTTTGCAAGGTCAAATTGGACAGCTTTGTTTTCAGCACTTCTATACTAACCTTTCCCATTCAAAAGATGGAAGTTTTCTCTTTTTCACAGTAACTCTACGTACTGTTATTCGATTTTTACAAAGCAAAAGGTGGTTTTTGTCTGCATAATTTGTAGAAAGACATTGGTTATTCCTCTCAAAATTAGTGCTAGCTTAAGGCTTCACAACAATGAATTGATTTTTATACTTTTAAATAATAGAGGCTAAAAAAAGAGAAAATTAGCATAGCAGTAAAAGAAGCACTGACATTTTTAAACAAATACTAATTTCTACATCTGCAGTACTTTCATGTGTGCATGGAGGAAAGTGTTTCTCTGAAAAGTTTACTGTTACAGAAGACAAATGTTTCTTGGTATTTCATATGAATATTTTGGGGTTTGCTATTCCAAGATCTCTCATCAAAAGCCTGGTAATGCTAGTAGAAGATCTTGGGTTGGAATGAACACCTATAGCTGTGCTAGATTGACACTTCAGATGACAGCTCTAATTCCACTAACTTCAGTTGCAAAATTGATCTGCAGTAGCTCTGAATATGAGTTTAATGATACAAATGTCTACAGATGTGAATTTCAAAGTATTTACCTGTGTTTGGTATTCAAGAATAGGTATTTCTTCATCATCAGTTGGTCCAAACTGATGGCGAACTGCAGAGAAGCGAATGGCTATTGATAAAACAAGCTTTAAATTGGTTGAGGACATGGTCGTGATCATAATTCTGCCAGTTGACAAGGATCCCAGAGCTGCACTAAAACGTGCTTTAACATCCTAAATAGATAAAAAGCACAGACTGAATGGTGAGGCTAACATTTCATTTACATTCCCCATAAATATAGTACTCAGGAAGCATGATCAGAAGCCCAGAGGGTTGGCCAATTCTGTTTCTTGACAAATTCAGATAAGGTGTTCAGGCAAGACTCAAATCTCTTAACTATTGTGTGATCAGTGAGGCAGTGCAAAGAGCAAGAAGTCAGTAAAACCAGTAAGGTGAGTTGAGTCACCTCTAAAAGGTAATAATAAAAAAAAAGCATTCTGACTATCTCATGTGAAATTGTTAACACTCTTAAAAGTCCAGGTACCTAGTACTTCCCAACATGCTCTAGCTCTTAACCTACTTACATCTTTGTATATTTAATGAATATATTAATGAAACAAAGCCTTGATTCATACCTTGACTGAACTTGAGTACTTCCCCTCAGCTGTGATATCTCCAGCTGTATTCACTATGTTTTCTTTAGGTATCCTGACATTGTGGAACATGGCAAATCTGTTTAAACAAATACAATGTTTAAATGTAAAATCTACCTTGACATACTCTGAGGTGACTACAATACAAAAAAAGGTCACAACAAAGACAAGAGTTATGTATTAGTGACCATAGACAGTTTGACACACACTTTCACCAACAGCCCAGAAACCTGAACCAAATTCAGTGTCTGCATGAGTTTAGGTAAGCTCCTCAGTTTGATATCCCAGCTATCAAAAAGCTTAGAAAGATGCACAACTTCCTTCTCCTGCTTATAACCTGACTGGGCCATTCTGACTTCTAGGAATTCCATGCCACAAACAATTCTGTTGAACCATGTGCTCCACTGAAGTGTTGTACAGTCCAGTCTGCAGACTGTTTTGGAACAGAGACACTATGTATTTTTACGAGCCCAAACCACAGAACTGTGAGGATCATTCATGTTACTACAACACAAATGAGGACATAGCTGAAAACAGTGCCCTGAGAAGGAACACAGTGGAGAATTCTCGTTTGTTTAAACTCAAACTAGGATTTCTGTTCCCTGGAATGTGGCATCTTAAAAAGGAAGAGCAAGATAACCATTTAGAAATTGTGGCACCCTTAGCAGCCATGAAGAAGGAAGTTGTTAGAAAATGTCCTGAGCATTCATACTCTTCAGGAAGAAAGTGTTATGAACTGTTTCACCCAAATGGGCAACACAGCTTGGCAGAATAGCAGTAATATCAGCTCCACTCACAAATACCTTAGTATCTAATAGCACTTGAAAAGCTGTATTTGTAATCAAAGTGAATTCCTTTTTCCTGCCAACACAGGCTGATCTACTTAATAAGGCTCACGAGAGCCAGGTCTTTCACATTAATAAGCTACATAAAGGCTATGCTGCTGCATGTGCTTTAAAATTATGAGGTGTTTCCAAGGAAACATCTCTGCATACTGAATTTATTCAGCCTTAGAGATACACAGAAATTTTGGACTCAGCCACAGAGAAAAGCATGCTATCCTAACCAACAACCAGTGCTTCTTGGTCTAAATGATGCTAAAAAGCGCTTTATTAAATGCCAGTTCCAGTAAGACAACATTACTCTCTTAACAGAAGCAAATTCAGAATTTCCCAAAATATCATTTCCATCCTTGTTAATATTTTTTCATATCACTGAAAATGAAAAAAAACTCATTCAAAAGAAATATTTTGGTTACACTCTCATTCTCTGTTCCCTATATCTCAAATCAATCACAAAACTAGAAACTCCAATATTTGTAAGCAACTGTATGTATGTTAGACAGAAGTTTAGCTTTTTAACTATTATTTATTACTTTAATTACAGGAGGTGTGTGTGGCAAGGTTTAGCACTCTCTTTTACTAGTTACTGTGCAGCCATAGAACTACAAGAAGGTGCTTCCTCCTTGGAGCTTGCAATCCAAACATAAGGCAAGTAGTCACAAATGTGTTCAAGCAGTGAGGCAGACACTAACTACAGATGACTATTTTCTTGGTGTGTTACCTTCCTGTCACAGCAGTTGGCAGCTAAGCATTGGCATCTTTTTATAAGCTATTAGAGTAAATGAGAATTTTAAGGAGGAATCTGAGTGATGAAATGAAGGGAGCTTCATAGATGTCTATAGAGGATCCCTCCCAAGTATGAAAAGATGCATAGAAGAAAGCAATAAAATATTATTTGAAAAGCTATTGAAAGGGTGATAAAAGCTGGAATCATAAGCTAGACTAAAGGCACATGGAAAACAAAGGGATGATTGGTGACAGCCAACATAGCTTCACCAAGGGCGAATCCTGCCTGAGTAATTTGGTTGCCTTCTACAATGGGGTCATGGCATCAGTGGACAAAGGAAAAGCAACTGATGTCATCTACCTGGACCTGTGCAAAGCTTTTGACACTGTCCCACATGACATCTTGGTATCAAAACTGGAACAGTATGGATTTGATGGATGGACCACTCACTGGGTAAGGAATTAGCTGGACAGTTGCACTGAAAAGAATTGTCCAGAGAAACAGCAGTGGTATTCCCCAAGGGTTGGTACTTGCACTAGTGCTGTTTAACAGATTTGTTGGTGACATGGACAGTGGCATTGAGAACACCCTCAGCAAGTTTGCTGACAACACGACTGTGTGATGAGGTGTCATCGTTTGACTCAGGTCTGACAACAATGCTCTCGATCCCCTCCCCCTCTCACCCAGGTAGGGAAGGAGAGAGAGAAAAAGAGAGAGACTTGGCTGGATTGAAAACTAAACTACACAGCTTTCATTAAACACTAATGAATGATATAAAAAAATATATACAATTATATGCAAATATGTTCAGGTATGGGCAAAAGCCTCTCACCTCCCCCACCCTCAGCAACTCCCACAGCACGCCCCTAAGATTAAGACAGTCTCGAGGAATCCTGGAGATGCTGCTGGAGAAAGCACAGAGTGATGAGGGTCAGGAGAGCTTGGGCCTAAGGGTCGACGGCGATGGATGGAGTCCTCCCCGGATGCCAGCCATGAACAGAAGAGAGGGGAAAAAAAAAAAAAAGGAAGGAAGTTGTCCTCTGTGATCTCTGACCTTCCCCCGAGACTACGTAGATATATGGAATGGAATATTTCTGGCCCATTTTGCTGTCCGTCTAACCCAGCCTCGCATGGGGGGGCCCCAGATCTCCCCGCAGTGTCTGAGCCGGCAGAGCTCAGCAGTTACAAAAACATTCCAGTGTCTTATCAGCCTAGCAGAACACACAGTTGGTAGTTAGAAGAAAGCTCACTGAAGGAAAAAAAAAAAAATCAGCAAAAGGAAAACTGGCTTAATCCTTGCTCAAACCAGGACATGAGGCTGACACTCTGGAGGGAACGGATGCCACCCAGAGGGACCTTGACAGGCTTGAGAGGTGGGGGCATGCCAAGTGCAAGGTTCTGCACCTGGGTCAAGGCAATCCCAAGCACAAAAACAGGCTGAGAGGAGAATGGATTGAGAACAGACTTGACCTTGATGGACCTGGGGGTGCTGGTTGAGGCAGCCATGAGCCAGCAATGTGTGCTTGCAGGCCAGAAAGCCAACAGTGTTCTAGGCTGCAACAAAAGAAGCGTGGCCAGTAGGTCAAGGGAGGTGATTCTCCCCATTTACTTGGCTCTCATGAGACCCCACTTGCAGCATTGTGTCCAGTTCTGGAGTCCCCACCATAAGAAGGAAATGGAGCTCCTGGAGAAAGTCCAGAGGAGGGCCACTAAGACTTCTGGAGGGCTGGAGCACCTCTCCTACAAAGACAGTATACTGAGAGAGTAAAATTAAGAAAGTTCAGGCTGTTCCACTGGAGAATAGAAGGCTCTGGGGAGACCTCATAGCAGCCTTCCAGTGCCTGAATAGGGTCTACAGAAAAGCTGGGGAGGGGCTTTTTACAAGGGCTTGTAGTAAGCAGACAGGGGGTAATGGATTAAAACTAGGGAGCATTAGCTTAGAAATTAGGAAGCAATTATTCAGTGTGAGGTTGTTGAGGCACTGGAACAGGTTGCCCAGGGAAGCTGTGGCTGCACCATCCCTCTAAGTGTTCAAGGCCAGGCTGGACGGGGCTCTGAGCAACCTGATCTAGTGGGAAGTGTCCCTGCCCATGCAGAGGGATTCAAAATAGATTATCTTTAAAGTCACTTCCAACTCAAACCATTCTATGATTCTATGATACAATTTTTGGGGCACAGATTAGGAAGAGATTTCAAAGCGCCAGCTCTAAGACATTCTCTTTGCAAATGGGTTTTTGGAGCATGTTTAGTCCTGTGTGTGAGATTCATGGTTGTAATGACAATTAACAAGATGGCAAATTGTCCTTTTGTGGTTTACACTGTAATGATCAGTTAATTTAGCAAAGCTGTGCAGTTGTAGAAAATTATTTTTACTGGTACATGCTTGAAACTCTAGAGTTCTTAAAAGCAAATTAAAATCTACTCGTATATAAACCTATATATTAATAATCTACTTTTAGAAAATTTAATATTGAACATGTGGCAGATATGTGCCAAACAAAACAGGTCCCAAAATGACCTAAACAGTTTTAGCCACTTTTACCTGTTGTGACAGAACCCCAAATAGGTAAATCTAGAAGAAGTGTTTTGTTGGATAGAGATAAAAATCTTACAGGAAGTTTTATATCTGTCCAACATAAATATAATGTAGGTAATTCTGTACCACATAAAAGATTACCTTGAATTATTTTGATTAAAAACCACTGTCACAGTTTGACTCAGGTCCGACAACAATGCTCTCGATTCCCCCTCCCCCCAACCCAGGTAGGGAAGGAGAGAGAGAAAAAGAGAGAGACTTGGCTGGATTGAAAACTAAACTACACAGCTTTAATTAAAACACTAATGAATGATACAAGAAAATATATACAATTATATACAGATATATTCAGGTGTAGGCAAAAAGCCTCTCGCCTCCCCCCACCCCAGCAACTCCCACAGCACTTCCCTGAACTGGAAAGAGTCCCGAGGAATCCCGAAGCTGCTGCTGGAGAAAGCAGAGAGTTATGGGGGTCACGAGAGATCAAGTCTGAGGATCGACAGTGATGGATGAACAGAGTCCTCCCTGGACGCCGGCCATGGACCGTCTTAAAACATCATTCTGTATGAGAACTCAGACTTTACTACTGAAACATGACCTTTTTATGGTGAAAAGCCAAAGTATCTATAAAATTCCTCCATGTTAATCAAACTGGGGTGAATTCTGGCAAGATTTGAAATTTGGTCTTTGAGTTCTGCATTTGGGTATTCACACTAAACTTCATTGCTTGCCATACCACAATACACCAAATAAACTTGATGAGAATAGGGGGTGTTAGCTGTCTGTAAAATCAACCTGAAAAGCGTGTTAACTAAATGCGCAAGTAAACCTTTTGTGACAGGCACTTATTTAAGGATCACCCAAGGAAAAAAATATCAGAGGTTGCTTTTACTCATGCTTCATCTTTGCTGACTTTGTATAGCTCTGCTGGGTCTGTCTTGCCCTTTTCCAGTTTCAACAAGTCTTTGCTGATT